CTTCTCAACATGAGACCCTAAGATCTAAACCAAGGGATGGCACCTTCCTTAGAAGGTCTAGAACAGGAGATCGGGGAATTGAATCCCAGCGGTGTTTCAACTAAACTTTCAAACTCTTTCAAAGATCCAAACCAAGAACAACCCAAACTGTGAGCTAAAAAAATCCCTTTTCTCTTTCTACAGTTAGCTGTTTCAGGTATTTGGTTGTAGTACCGCCAAGCTGACTAACACAGAGACCATATTTCCTGTAAAGTCTGAAATACTTACTCTCTGGTCCTTTACGACAAAGTTGTCTGGGATCCACGTGAAGAAGTAAGGGACTCGACACTAATAAGGAAGGGGCTCCTGGCATTTAGAGAGGACCAAATGATTGGACAGATGATTTAGACAATAAACAACTTCTCACACCGTGCTCAGTTCTCTGACTAGCAACCAGCATTCCAGATAGGGAAAGGGATGATGAATCCTTTAGGGTTTTCCATATTCCAAACTGCTGCCTGCCAATATTATTAGGATCATGTTTCCAAAAAACCCGGTCTTTCTCTGCCCTCCCTGACCATAGGTAGGGTCTGTAGGTTCTTCTCATAGCGGTGGCGTTTTATGCAGGAACCCAGGAGCCCGTCAAAGCCCAGGTGTGAGACTTAGAAACACAAAGCTGGGTTTTTTGCAAGCAAAGTACATGAGGAGTGGGAAAGCCTTTATCGGTACCAATCACAGACAAAGGTTGGCTGCGATGTGCTGGGCTGGGGTTTAGCTATTTGATTTTCTCAGTGACTCCAGAGCAGGCAACTGCCCTTCATCCTGGGTCTGCCAGGTGACCAGGAGAAAGTGCCCTTCCCTCTCCAGGCCTCGGCTCCTGGTTAGTCAGACGGGTATGAATAGCACAGGAGGAGGCTGGGCTCCGTGCACCACTGCGTGGAGCTCAGCGCGGAGAAGCATCCACTCACGAAGCAGAGCCGTTCATCATCCTGTTAGTCGTCCAGACCTCTCCTCCGGCCATTAACCACACATTGCTTCCTCTCGATTTTAATTTGGGAGGTCCAAGGGGGAGAATTCACGTGGAAGGCGGGGGAAAGGCCTCCAGAACAAGCCGACGTTGGAAATACCATCATCGTCTTTGCTCCTGTTCCCCTGGTTTCTTTTTGGACTTCTCAGTTGTAAGTTCAATAATCTGACATTCAGCGGCCGCTGCGAGATCCTATGCTAGGTATTGTGCATGCCCAAGGAAGGGAGCAGGTATAAAAATCAGGAAGATTTGGTCCTTTATAAGGAGCCCCCAGGTGCACAAGGGCCTCAGGCAAAGAGCTGGGCTTCTGTTCCGAGTGAGTGGTCACGAGGCGTCCGTGAGCCCGCTGCACCCTCCCCTGCTCTCGGTTTCTTTGATTCCTCAGAAGAGGAAAACCGATGCCTTCCCAGCTCACCCAGGAGATGGCAGGGCGTTAAACACTGAGGGTCCCGCTGCCTTTCTGAGAATTCCAGAGCCTTCCAGCCCCACGGGGACTCCACCCACCAAGAGCTCCCTTGGCAATCAGAGGTCAAGACACCGAGGTTCCCTCTCTGGCCCTGCAGAGGTTAGACAACGTGTGACGCACGCCATTCTCCCAGGGGACGCTCTGTGCCTCTGAGGGCCTGGCCTCTCCGTCGGTCCTGCAGCTCCCTGTGGCTCACCCTGCCCTCTTCACTCTGTGCTCTGCACGTGTTCAGTGTTGGCCGAGAGCATGGCAGCTTTAGACCAAGAAAGATCAAGTTCTTGTTGTGGGAATTGACACAAAACGGCTGAGAGACCCCGGGCATGGGCCTGGAGAAAGCTCTCCTCAAGGGCCTCCCTCGCAGGAGAGGGTGGGGCTAGCATTTGCCTCCGCGACGTAGAAGCTCCGGGAAGGAAGAGGAGCGGCCTCTGACATGGAGACAAGAGGAGGGAGCCCACCAGGGTGAGCAGATCCTTGGGCTAACTGCAAGGGAGTCAAGGTGGTGGGACACCTCTGCTCTCAGTGCGGCCTCGAAGCAGCAGATCCCACGGAATGGGAGGAAATCGCACCAGCTTCCCAGATGGCTTTCCCTTCCATAGTGGTGATGACGGTGTCTACCTTTGTGACTCGTGCCAGGAATAAATGGGACAAGAACACACTTGACTGTTGCTACAGCTCATTGAGCATGTCTGTGACCATCAGTACCTTTGCCTTCCACATCACCACCACCGACATCACTACCATCACCATCACGATGACGGTGACGATGACAACGTTGATGATGTTGGTGACAGGATGACACTGATGATGAAGATGATAGGGATGATGATGGGGACAGGCATGATGATGATGTTAGTGAAATCACCATCTTTCTTTTCACATCACCTTCATCACCAGCACCATCACCATCATCATCGCTATCATCATCATCATCACAAACAATATCACCATTGCTGTCATCACCACTACCACCACCACCATCACCACCATCATCATCACCATCATCACCACCATCATCATCACCACCATCACCATCACCATCATCACCACCATCACCATCACCATCATCACCACCATCATCATCACCACCATCATCATCACCATCATCACCACCATCACTACCATCATCATCACCATCATCACCATCACCATCATCATCACCATCACCACCACCATCACCACCACCATCACCACCACCATCATCATCACTATCACCATCACCATTATCACCATCATCATTATCACCATCATCATCACTATCATCATCACCACCACCATCACCACCACCATCACCATCATCAGCACCACCACCATCACCATATCACCATCACCATCATCACCATCACCACCACCATCATCATCACTATCATCACCACCATCATCATCATCACCATCACCATCATCAGCACCACCACCATCACCATCATCATTATCACCATCATCATTATCACCATCATCATTATCACCATCATCATCACTATCATCATCACCATCACCATCACCATCATCAGCACCACCACCATCACCATATCACCATCACCATCATCACCATCACCACCACCATCATCATCACTATCATCACCACCATCATCACCATCACCATCATCATCACCATCACCACCACCATCATCATCACTATCATCACCACCATCATCAGCACCACCATCATCATCACCATCACCACCACCATCACCATCATCATCATACCATCCTCATTATCATCACCATCACATCATCATTACCATCACCACCACCATTGCTGACACCATCACCATCATCTTCCTACCATCACCATAATCCACACTGTCACCAGCAGGACCTCAGTTGCCATCCCCACCTTCCCTTTCCACACGTCAGCCTCCTCCTCATCCCAGGAAGCACAGACACAGGATCGGCTCGTCCTCTTCCTGGCAGCACGGCTGTGTCCTGACGAGGCTGAGGGAGGGTGTGGACGGAGGGTAGGTGGACACTGAGCAGGCAACACCCTCCATGCTTGTCCCTTAAACGGCGTCCTTTCAACACTTCCTCTGCCCACAGGTCTTTGTCGGGTCTCAGGGAACCCGGTGGGGGAGCACTCACCTGGGTGTGGCTGAGCGTGGCGCCTGCAGTGTACCTTAGCTTTCAGCCCCGCTGGCACACTGACCTGGCAGCCCTGGAGGGAGGGAAACTCACTCACCTGGAGGGTCACAGCAGGTGCCACAGATGGGGCACAGGTGTACGGAAGGCTGTGGGTCAGAACTAGCAGAGAATCCTGCAACTTCAAGAAGTGCCCAAGCAGCTGTTCCCTAGGAGTGGGCATCATGGCTGAGAGGGTCACCACTGGCACCGTGTGACACACAGAAGGTGCACAGCAAACAGATGGTGAGCGGGTGCGTGGCAGATGCATGAACTGCGCCATGACACTCCAGTGTCAGCTGCTCGTTCCCTGGTGGTGCTTGTCCCGTGGGCTGGGAATGGGAATCCCTCCTGACAAACGGCAGTGGCCCCCACAGAGGGGGGAGGGGGGAGGCAGAGCTCGTTTTCCGGTCGTGCCAACTTTTAATTATTTATTAACAATTTCCCCCACGAGATGGTTCTCGGCAGAGAGGTAACATCTGTTTGTGAGGCTCTCTGGGAGGCCACCAGAGAGATCTCGACACTCTGCAATCTGCCCCACAGGAACACGCACAGGTGCTCTCAGCCCGCCCCCACCTGCTTGGTCAGGTGGGACAGGCAGCTCTCTGCAGAGTGGGCATTAAGATTGGGTGCCCCCTGGAGGCAGGGTGGGCACCCACAAGTTTGATCAGCGGGGCAGGAGGGCAGGCCTTTGTCCTCCAGCTCCCCAGATGTAGGTCTAACCAACAGCAGAAGGACAGAGCCAGGGCGGTGGACCTTCAGATGGCCCTGGCCCAGCACTCGGACAGGAATGATCCTAGTGTCCATGTCCCAGGAAGGCTATGACAGATGTGGTTAGGAAGGATGGGCCTGGGGTGGGGGCCAGAGGCAGGAGCTGCTGCCAGCCTGCCCCTCTCCCCTGCCCCTTGCTCCTGTGGATGGGACACTGGGAGGAGGGAGGGGGAGGCCCTGTCTTCAGGCATGTGCCTGCATGGTCAGCAGACAGCTCCTGGCCAGGCTCTGGCTGTCCTGCTGCTGAAGCAGCCTGTTCTTCTGTTCTGCTGAGCCCACTGCCCACCTGCCTTCCTTCCCCCACCAGAGAGAGGGACAGGCAGGGAGGGCAGACTGTCTGTGTTCAGGTCCTGGGCCACCCTGGCCTTTTCGGGGTTAGACCAAACCTGTCCTCACGCCCACCGTGCTCATGGGTGCAGAATTCAGGAGCAGAACTCAGGTGCAAGGCGGGGCAGGAGGTCCTCTGGGAAGGTCTCCTCGGGGCCCATCTGAAGCCAGTAAGAGCAGCAGGCCAAGGACACAGCCGCCTGGGGCCAGTCTTGGCTCAGGGCCTGCGAGCCCAGGCCAGGAGCGTCCCTTCCTGACCCAGGCGGGAGCAGCTGGGCGGGAGTCCCGCCGCGGCCCTGACGCTGTCTCCTCCTCCAGGTTTGGCTGTGCATCAGATCATCACCATCACCGTCTCCCTCATCATGGTCATCGCTGCCCTCATCACAACTCTTGTCTTAAAAAATTGGTAAGGCCTGGAAATGGGGGGCTGCGGGGTCCCCAGGGAGGTGTGCACAGCGAGGCGCTGACCTGTCGACTCCGGCTCGGAGGTGCAGCCTCTGTGTCGTTTTCCCGTTTGGGGAAGGACGGTCCACGCAGCCTGGCCTGGGCCCCTTGGCCGCCGGCTAGGCGGAGTCTGCTCCATGACGTGGCCTTGCTGTGGCTTCCTTTGCAGCAGGAAGCCGCGGGCTCAGCTTCCCAGGACGCCTTTGCCCCCGTCCCCAGCTCTGCTCCTGGATCCCTGTGCACCTTGGGGTGCCCCCAGCACAATCTCTACTTCATCACCCCCAGGCCCTTCCCTGGAAAGGCAGGGACCACCCTACCTGCCCCACGGTCTGGGGTGGCCAGTGGCTGGCCAGCCTTGCCCAGCCCCTCCCCTGCCCTCTCGTGGCCACTGTTTCTGAAGCAGGTCACGCTTTGCCGCGGGCAGCCTGCCTTCACCTGTCCCTCCTGGAAAGTGGCCTACTTTGGGGCCAGCCTTACTGGGTACGCACACCTGACACACTCCTGAGCCACCCAGGGAGCTGCTGGGTGACCCTGCCGCCTGCAGCCACCCGCAGCCACGGTGCCTCCAGCTAGCTCAAGAGCTTCAGGTCCCCGAGGGGCAGCTGGCCCCAGGTCCGCCAGCCTGCAGACACGATGTGAAACAGACAGGGAGGCACTGGAGCAGGAGACCAGGCACCTACTGGTGGGGTCTGACAGAGGGGGGTGGGGCACAACCCAGGAGCCCCCCCCAGATGCCGGGTCTCCAGGCTGCCGCCTCCTGCAGCCAGCCCAGGGGCCCTACCTGTCCTCGGGGGCAGGAGACGAGGACAGAACCGGTTGTCCTGAAGCAGTGGAGCTTCTCAGGCTGGTCCAGGCCGGGGTTAAAACCCCTGGATCAGATGGACGTCTAGCAGGACAAACCCCTCGGGCCCTCTTGGGAAGGGCATCATGCCCTCAAAGGGGACAGGGCATAGCGCCCTGTGGCAGGTGGCCCAGCCGTCCTCTCGGTTCTTAGACACCTGGTCTGCAGGAAGACGCCAGAGTCCCGGGAAAACCTCCCGGGGGCGAGGGGCCATGACCAGGGGGCGAGGGCCATGACCAGGGGCCACCTCTGTGGCCTCGGCCTGGTGCTCACCTTCTCCTTTGGGGTGGGGAGGCCACTGCAGGAGGCAGAGCCAGGGAGTGAGTGGGACTTCCGGAAGACAGGGTCCCCACCCACCCAGCGTGTCCCTCACTTCACACGGGCTCTGGGAATAAAAGGGGGACACGGGGAGACAGACTCCACAGGGGGTGTCCTTGGCTCCCCAAGCTACAGGGAGGTCCCCCAGCCACCCCCTCAACCTCCTCGCAAACTTGTCCTTAAAGGGCACCCAGGAGGCCACCGCGTGCCTGCCCATTGCATGCCTTCATGAACAAGGGCAGGAGTCCCCTGCTCAGCCTCAGTGGCCTCTGCAAGCCCCTGAGATCCAGAGAGAGGGATGAGGCCGAGGACGACAAGCCGGGGAGCCCCTGCAGACCCTGTCAGGGACGAAGGACACACCAGGCTCCTCTCTGGCTTGTGAATTGGTTGGGCTGGGGACGGGGAACCCCTCCTTATCAACTCTCCCTGGAGAGTGTCACATGGTCCACCCCCGACTGGACCCCAGGGGTCCCCCGCCATCTGGCCCCCCCGGCAGCGAGCACCACCAGTTTGCATGCTGAGAGGTGCCTGTGGGACCCGGGGTCAGCTCCGTGGTCCGGTTGGCATCCTTCAGCCGAGCCAGGCCTGCAGCCCCACCTCTCAGCCGACAGCGCTCCCTGAGCTAATGGCCATATTTAAAATTCAAATTTTATATTTTAAAAAAGCTCTGATTGCTTGATTGTGGTTGATCTTTCTGAAGAGGCTGGGAATTACCATCTAATATTAAATGGCGTCTGCCTCGTGCCTGAGGGACGCTTCCACCTGCAGCGGGCGAGCGGCGGGTCGGGCCCTGCCTGCCCCCCACCCCGAGCCCTCTCTCTCCTAGCTGCGCCCAAAGCGGGAACACCCGGAGGAACAGCCACCAGCGCAAGATCAACCAGCAGGAGGAGAGCTGCCAGAACCTGACGGACTTCACCCCGGCCCGGGTGCCCAGCAGCATGGACATCTTCACGGCCTACAACGAGACGCTGCAGTGCTCCCACGAGTGTGTCAGGGCGTCCGTGCCCGTGTACACCGACGAGACGCTGCACCCCTCGGGGGAGTACAAGTCCACGTTCAATGGGAACCGGTAAGCTCAGTGTGGGCAGGTCCCACGCGCTCGCTGCTCCTGGGTCGGACCCTGGCGCTGGCTGTGGCCCCGCTGCAGCCCCTGGACAGGTCAGGTGGCCCTACAGACCACTGAGGGGCCAGCAACGCAGACAGCCACTTTGGCCAAACAAGAGGAAGGTGGTAGGTACCCATGGGCACGTCCCCTCCCCCAGGGAACGGCAGCGTGGCGGGAATCCCCAGGTGTGGGCAGGGAAAGGTGCCGCCGGCTCCCCTGCGTTCTCTGCTACATGGGGCAGGCAGTGCCCGTAACCCCGGGGGTTCAAAGCCAGCCATGCAGCTGTCCCTCCCGAGGATGGACACGTTAGACTTGGCCCTGCCCAGAGTCAGGGTCTCTGCCACCCGGCAGTAAGCATCAGCAGCACGTGGGGCAGAAAGACCAGATGCCAATCAGAGTTCCAGACGCGGCTTATTAAATGCTCTTTTTATCATTCCCGTGCAATCCCTCAAAGAAGACACCCTCCTCCGGCCACCCCTGGGGTGTTGGAGAAACCGTGAGTCAGCTTCTCAAGGTTTGTCCAGAATTAAATTAAAATATCAATCAGCTATTTTTTTAAAGTGAGCAGCCCTCGTGCATCATTTTGTAAATTCAAAAAGAAAAGTACCCAGCAACTTACAGACTTCAGGGAGAAGGGGGCAGGCTCCAGGCTGCCCTGAGGGTCCCCTCCCCACAGGGAGGGCAGCCAGGACCCGCCCCCAGCACTCCTGAGAGTTCACCCAGGAGCCTCACCTGGGGTGGCCTTGGGGAAAGGTGGAGAAGCCACCTGCCCTGTCTCTGATTTGCTTGGGGACAGGAAGGCAGGGCCTTGGTAATCAAGGGCTGCCAGGGCCACCTCTGGTGTCCGCGGTACTGTGGCCATTTCTAGTGTCCGCGGTTCCGTGGGCTCCCGATGCTGCAGTGGGGACTTGCTGAAGTAGCTCTGAGGCGCCCGGGTCGTCTCTCCTGAGGCTCCCTCCTTCCCACCCAGGGAGCCCAGCCCTGCACAGAGGACTCAGAGCCGCCGCTCTGAAACACTTTGCTCTCACCCGTGGACGTCGGGGGAGTTTGCTGGGGACGCCCTGGCCTTCCAGGGGGCTGTGTTCACAAAGAACCAGCAGAGGGGTTTTCAGGCCGTCCCACCGAAAGCGCAAGCACTGGCTTGGCTGAGTCCTGGCCCAGCACCCATGCTCCGGCCTCTGGGGAGGGGACTTTGGGCAGGAGCTTGTTTTTCCTGCTGTTCCCCTGCATGCTTGAGTCCAAGGGCGGGGTCAGCACAGCGGCACGCTCACGCCCTGCGTAGAGGCCCGGCTGGAATGGGTTCCGGCGTTTGGCCCAAGGTGCTCTCTGCTGGATGTCACTGGCCTTGGGACACAGCGGCCTGGACTCCAAGGTGATGAAATAAGGAGCCACTGCACAGGCCCCCTCCTGGTCAGTGCGGCACATCGAATCCCTGCCTCAGAGACACAGGCCCGAGCTCTAGGCTCACCCTGGCAATTCCAGAACTGAAATCTGGGGAGAGCCTGAGTGTGGGGCGCCAGCCTTCCAGCCTCATGCCAGAGTCTGCGCACCGGGGCCTGTGTGCGGCAGCCCTCCAGGCCGGAAGGAAGCGTCGGTGAGTGTAGAACTCTCCCTGCCCCGAGACGGGGGCGTCCCTTCCTGAGCAAGGCCAGAGGCCCCTTACACATGGCTTCTCAGGATCCACCTGGGGACACAGAATCCTGTAGAGGACATTCACACCCATCCCTCTGCTCTCACAGGTCCTCCTCTGCTGACCGGCATCTCATCCCTGTGGCCTTTGTGTCTGAGAAATGGTTTGAAATCTCCTGCTGACTGGCGGAAGGCTTTTTTACCTCCTGGGGGCAGGGCGGACGCCACGTGTCTGCTTCAGGTTTGTTCCTCTCTTCGCTCTCCACTACCGCCCGCCCTCTCCCTGTCCGTACTTTGGGATAATTGGGGGTCCTTTTCCCCGGAGTGGCTTTCCCATGAATGCAAACCCACCTGCTGTCAGGTTCCCTGAATGCAATCCACAGGGTGGTCTCTAAGTGCTTGGTTAGGTAGGTCCTGGGTCCCCAGGAGCAGCCCAGACCCGGGCAGGCTCCAGGAGCAAGGTGGCTTGTGTCTCTCCAGCCGTCCTAAGAGGGCCACCCAAGCAGGCCTGCGTGGCAGGGAAACCCGCTCTGCCGGTTCTCGCTTTCCCCAACAGGAAGAGATTAGGGCCACCGCTGCGTGGCCAGGCATGGCACCCCCGGCACACGACTTCACCTGGGAGAGGGCGGGAGGCGGAATGAAAATACAATTTCGAAATATAAAAATAAGAGATAAGAAAGAGCATGATAAAGCAAGACAGTGAAGAGTTGAGGCCTCTACTAATTTGAAGCCAGGGACAGCACCAAACCAGGATGAGTCTTCCACGCTCTGCTGGGTAGGGACATTTCGTTGGCTTTCAGCGATATTAACGTGGATGCTGACGTTAAATTGCTTTCTTCTGTCTGGATCTCTGAGCGTGCGGCTGCCGGGGAGAGAGTGTCCACAAGCACAGGCCGCAGGCGTGCACCCAGCCAGGGGGTCTGCTTTGTTCTACTGTGTTCTCTGCAGTGTCAGGCTTGCTGGGGACCCTCACCCGCCCTCGGCACAGGCTCCTCCAGACCAGGCCTCAGTGCCTTCCAAGAGGAGGAGCCTGTTCCCAGGAGCCGCTGCCCCGCATTTGACAGCAATCTCTGTGCTTGTCCCTCTCCTTTCCCATGAGACAGCCAGTGGGAAAGGCAGTGGCCAGAGTGAGGCCAAGAGCCACCAGGCCCCCAGGCTTCGGCTTTCAGCACTTGGCTGGGGCCGAGGGGCGGGCTGCAGGCAGAGCAGGAATGAAGTGGTGGGTTCCTAATCCCAGTGCTAATGAAGCCCAAATCAAATCTCCAGCCCTCACTCCCTGTCCTGAAGCCAGGCTGCTCTGCCCACAGGCCAGCAGAGTAATTAGATCAGACTGAAACAAGCCTCCTGCGCGGGGCGGGCGGCCGCCCAGCCCCACGTCAGGCAGCAGCGCGGGCACGCGCGTCCTCTGAAGCAACAGTGGGCCTTTGTCTGCTCAACGTGCCTCCCTTTGTTGGGGCTGCAGTCAGCCACCTTTGGTGACCTGACCGAGCTAGCAACAGGGCGCTGCTTGTTGGCAGTGGAGGCCCCAGCACCCTGGTGAGGTATCAGCAGGTCCCAGGGCCAGATGGGCACCAGCGTCCCTCGCAGCTTGAAGGCGGCTTGGATGGACATGCTCTGCTCCCCTCTCCCAGGAGCCGTGGCCCTCAGACTGCAGGCCGCACACCTCTGCTCCAGGTGGCCTCCTCAGGGGAGGCTCCCTAATCTGTGTGCTCTGATGGCGGCCCACTACTGGGCACAAGGACTCCCTCGCTCCTCCCAGGAGTCCCACTCTCAAGGCAGAGGGAGGCTAAGTGCCTTGGCCAGGGTCAGTCAGGTTGTCAGTGCAGGGACAGGATCACCCCTAGCTGCCTGTTCCAGGGCTGCACCCTGCCCACCCATCCAAAGGCCCTGCTTCCCAAGCCCCCTGCAGGGTGACCAAGCCCTCCCACTGGCATGGGCCTCTGTGCCTGCTCCCCCCAGCCAGCCCCAGCTGGCTAGATCAGGGACTGGGGCTCCATAGGCCCAGCTCTGCAGGCGGAGGCCAGCTCCTGAGCATCCAGAGGCCTGACCTGGGGCACTTCCTGGGTCCAGGAGCCTGCAGCCACAGCACACCACTTTTACAAAAACACGAAATTGAGGGGATGGAGCGGACTTGTACTTACTCCTCTACTCTAGAAACCCCTCCACAGGGATCCGCTGTCTCCCCAACCTGGCTGTCCCCTTAGCACCACCAACAGCACTGGTGAGCTCTCTTGGCACAGAGGGCATGAGATGGGGTGCCCCAGACGGGCCCCTGGGCACCCGCTTCCCCACTCTGCCCCAGGAGCTGTTTCAGGACCACCCCCGCTGACATGAAAGATGTCCCTGTACAAGCATCTTGAGCCCCTCCCTGTGGGTCTTGGAGGGGACATCATTGAGTTGAGGAGAGCCAGGCGCCCTGGAGACGCAATCCAAGTTGGCTGAGCTCAGCCTCCACGTCAGCCACACAAAGGCCTCGTTCGCTCCTGGTGACGTTCTGTGGACGTGGACAGGGAGGGCTGGGCAGGCAACCTTGTTAGTCCTCGATGAATGCCTAAAGGTCCCATCTCTGCATGGTGACAGATCCCATCTCTATTTGGTGACGAACCATTCATCTCTTGCTGGGATGAATGTGTTGAGATTCTAAAAACCCACGAGTACCTGGGCATGAGCATGGAGCAGAGAACAGCCAGAGAGGCCTCTCAGATTTGCTGGGCTACTTACTGTCCCTTAAACAAGTAGCAATTAATACTAGAGCATTAAATTAGGTTTAGTTTAATGTGGAGGTATTCACCTCTTGCGTAGCCATTAAGACACTCCGAATGCATCTCTAGTGGAGAGGTGGCCGTTTGCAATCCTCCTTCCCAGTCCTCACCTTCTCACGCCCACCCGCACACACAGGGGACCCAGCTGTGCCCTCCAGGCAGGTTGTCTGCAGCACCGAGGCTCGTGGGCAGATGTGGCCCACTTCCCTGGGCTTAGCCCCTGGTAGGCTCTAGATGACTCTTGCCTCATACCTCTTCTGCAGTGGGGCAGATAGTTCTGGACACAGAGGAATGTGCCTGGTCTTCCTTGTTCCACGGAAGGGACCTTAGACCCACACCTGTCATTGGCCCGTGGGCTCTATCCTGCCATTTTTCCTAGACCAGGTAAACTTGACAACACCTCATTAGAGTTCCTCCATCTCTTCCCATTTGCCAAAGCCACTTCATCTTAAATGTAGCCTCAAAAGCCATAAGGGCTCTTGAATCCGGAGCAAGTGAGAAATAAATCACTGTTTTATTATTTTCAAAAATACATTGAAGGCGTTGCAAATAAAAAAGTAAGAAATGCACCTGAGCCTTCCCACATTATTACTTTTTCTTTTTTTTAAATGCATTGATAGAGTATCTAGCTTTTGTAATTCCAAGGAACACTTTCTTTTAAAGCAAGAACCGGGGCCTTCTGGACACTGTGCTCTCTGAAATCCGGCACCAAGAACACCCTGTGGGGTGGGGAAGAAACCGACTAGTGGCTACTGGGCCCAGAGGGGACCTGGCTGCAGACAGCTTGTTCTCTTTGTTTTACAAAAGCAGATGCTAAGCATCAAACCCAGGAGCCCCCAAGGACATTCACAGCCCAAGTCTCCTCCCAGGCAGCAGAGGGCAGAAGGCATCCCAGATCTTGATCCCGGGGATGGTGACGCACCAGCTTCTCTGCCTTCGCCTAACTTTTTCCAGCCTGGGGGTCCAGGGCCACGTCCTGCATCTTTTCCACCAACCTGGGCTCCGCCTCCTTCTCCAGGCTTAGTGCCCCTGAGGCTTTTGTACTGAGACTTTGGAACAGAAAAATCAAAGCCCTCCCCCTGGGCCAAAGTTGAAGCAGCAGGATTGGTCAGGAACTGAGTGCATGCCTGCAGGTGCCCTGGCAGCCTGGGCGCCCCTTCCTTGGCCTGATGCTAGTACCTGCCCGCCCTTGCAGGGGACCCCCCACATCTGCAAGGAGCCAACACTGGACTTCAAATGGCCATTATAGATGCAGGGTTGAAGCCGCCTCTCTCTTCTCTCTAAATTTACCTGGAGACACTGGGGTGGAGAGAGATGCTGCCGAGCGGCTATCACCAATGTCCATCTCCCCAGGCCCCTCCCCAGCCCTGGGTACCCGGTCTGCTGACCTTCTATGAATATGACAATTCCAGGTCCCTCACATGAGTTGGAATCATGCAATATATATATTTAACTTTCAAAAAAAATTCAGTTGAAGGTAGGCCTGCCAGAGGAATATCTCTCTGTGTTAAATTACTTCATTTTTTTGAAACCCTTCCCTCTCCCAAATCTTGGAAATACGAAGGAGAGGGTAGGGGACCTAGGCACAGCAAGCCTCCAAGAGGGCTCCAGTGCTAGACTAAAGGGGACACCAGACCACTGCAGGGGGACAGTCCACAGGGCTGAGTGGCCTCTGCACTGTAGGCCGTATGGAGCTGCCCATATGTGGTTGGGAGGTAGCAGGCTGGGTGAGGGCCGCCATTCACCTCGGCTCCCTGGTCAGGGCTGGACGGGGAGTGACCGCGGGGTGGGTACACCCAGGCCCACTAACAGCACGCCTGGGTGCAGTGCCCGTGGGTCAGTGGAGGAGGTGGGCCCAGCCCCTCTTAGGAAGCAGGCCTGTGTGGACGGCAGCAGGGAACACAAGCGTTGGGCACGTGTCACAGCTCCGGGGCTCCCAGCACTTGCTCCCATTCCTGGTGGCTGACTTCAAGAGAACCTTGGTGTTCTGTGGCCACCGAGTGTCTGTGGACGGACCAGAGCCCCTGGGCTGGGTGTGTGGCGGGGTCCCCTGGGCCTCCTGGGCCTGGGCCTGCTGCCATTTAACCTCTTCTGTGTTCTTCCCACCCAGGATTCCGTTGGTGAACCTGTAAAAACAAAACAAACAAAAACACAAAACCTAAAACTAAACTCTCCCAGGGGGAGGTCCCCGCACCTCCCACTTCTGTTTGCCGGTGGGAAGAGCCGCAGCAGGACGCTCTAGGCCAAATCTATTTTTGTAAAAATTGCTCACGCCTATGGGTGACTGCCTTCTTCCAGAGTTTTCTTTGGAGAACAGAAAGAAGAAATGCAAGAAGGGGGACCGGAGACAGAGGGAGGCCAAGAGGAAAGGACAGGAGGCCACCAAAGCCTGGGATTTGTACCACGATTCTGAACCTGTGCCAATAATACCATTATGTGCCATGTACTGACCGAGAGCCTCGGCCCAGAGCCGGAGCC